TTTTTAGCAAGTGGTTGAACAGCCTCTGGAGCATAAAAACAAAACAACATTTAAAAGCTTGATTCTTTTTAGCAAGTGGTTGAACAGCCTCTGGAAGGAGACTGACATTCCATCGTTACTCAACAACACTCATCAGAACGGTGTGGAAATCGTTACCACTCCTCTTTTTCATTTTTGAGCTTTTTGTTAGCCTTGTATCTGGAATGCGTTCCTCTTGAGAACCTTGAGGGCGGAGAGGCTGCTTGTCCATGGATCCATTCCTACCCGGTGACAATTTTGGGAAGTCTCCTGATTGCTACGGCGGTAGCACCCTGACTCTACTCTTTTATGGCATCTCACACTATAATGAACTTGTCAGTTTCTTGTTAAAACGTCCAGCGAAAGGTCAAGTCTTGTCTGAATCTTCATTTCGCTTACACCTAGCGCAACCCTGGGGGTAAGTGTTTGTTGAAGAAGAAGAATGAATAAAAATGAAAGCCGAGGGATGCAGGGTTTTTTTCCTCTCTGGTCCAACAGATTTTCTAAAAACCGTTTTCAAAAGGCGTTTCCGTGGACAGCTTGCCGGACTCGGGGGGTGGGGGTGGGGGTGGGCGCCGCAGGACGCGTGCCCGAAGGGTGTCTGAAATGGAGGGTCCGGCGGCGGGTACCCACACTTTAGGGTTTGGATTGTTGTTGTTGGGGGCCTTCCTGGGTCACGTGGCCGGTCTAAAGTCCAAGGCAGGCTGTGCAATCAGGGTGAGGGAGACCCCCGAACGCCACATCCGCTCCCTAGACAACGGAAAGAGCGGCTTCCTGGGAAGAAGCCGAACCTGCCCACCGCCACACAAAGGCTGGAAGTACTCGGGAAAGGGCCCCGGGAGCGTTCTCTCTAGGACCCGGGAGGACCTGCATCTCTGTGGTTCTCGAATGACCCCAGGTTGCGCTCTGACTTCTAGGTCCTTTACTTCCAGCCCCACAATCCCACAACCCCACAACCCCACTGAAACCTATTGATCCCAATTTATAGCGACCCAACCCCCGCTGTCCAGTAGGGTTTAATGTAAATCATTAGGTTTAACATAAATCATTAGGTTTAATGTAAATTAGATTTCGTCCTGATGTGCAGTGGGGTCGGTTCGACTCCTAGCGACCCTGTACAGGGTTTTCAGGCTATAAATCTTTACGGGCGCAGAAAGTCTCATCTTTCTCCCGCGGAACAGCTGGTAGTTTCGAACTGACTGTGAGATTAGCAGCCCGATTCATAACCACTACACTACCAGAGCTGTTTAAATTAGATTTAATGTTTGATAATGTAAATCATGAGGGAAGCTGACCAGAGCTCTATACTCCTCTCACGGTGACGTTGTTACGTGTCAGTTCCAACTCACAGTGACTCTGTATACGGTTTCCCATGAGTCTGAACCACCGACCTTGCAATCAGCAGTCCAGTGCTTATTCTGCAGCTCCACACCAGGACTCCCTCTCTGTTGTTGTTGTTGTTATGTGCCGTGGAGTGGGTTCCGACTCCTAGCGACCCTGTACAGGGTTTCCGAGGCTGTAAATCTTTACGGGAGCAGAAAGCCTCATCTTTCTCCCGCGGAACAACTGGTAGTTTCGAACTTCTGACCCCGAGATTAGCAGCCCGATTCGTAACCACTACGCTACCAGAGCTCCTTTCTCTAGGGGGGGGAATGGGGAGGGGGCAACAAAATGAGTTTAAAAGGGGTGGGGGTGGAGGAGTGGTGATGGGGAGAAAGGTAACCCAACAAAACCTGTAGGAATAGGATCTCCACTTAAAATGTGTCCAAGTCAAAGTTTCGGGTTAAGGGTTATAACATGGCTTGATGATCATTCTGACTCTCACACACGGACTAGGAATCAGACCTGGAAAAGTCCTCTCCTGCTCAGGTTCTCACAGTGGCAGAACTGGGTCAGAACTCAGGACTTGAGCCAGGAAAGTCTGTGTATTCTCCACAGCCTCAGGCTGCCTTACATCAGAAATGAACAGTAATAAAATTAAAGCTTTCAAAATGTCATATAACAGTTTCAAAGCAGACAAAAGAAAGTGCAGAACTCAGGAAGGGCAATCCCATGTGAAAATCATCAGATGTAGGCCACAATAACAGAGTGGGATTTCTGGAGCTGAAAACAAGATGGACAGCAGAACATAAAGGAATATTTGTAGATAAAGATGTTAACTGATATTTAAGGTAATGCTGTGGTAATACCATCCCAAGATTAGAGATATTTCGAGAGACTAGAACTGTTTCTTTTCTTCCCAGTTTGCTATAATCGTCTATTTTTTTTAAAATGGAACAACAATTCTTGAAACTATGCTAGTTACCAGGAAAGATCTGAAAGCCTTTTAAAAAGCTTTATGAGAATATCTTTGAGCAAATTGCATGATATTTATGGAAAACTGGAGTCCTGGTGCAGAGCTGTATGATACACACTGCAAGGTCGGTGCTCAAATCCACTCCTTGGAAACCCTACACAGGGTCACTGTGGGTTACACTTGGTACTTGCACAATGAAACCAGTCCTTTTCTTTTCTGTGTACAAATTTCTAACCACCTCCTGTTATCTGGTTATATGAATTGTTTGTTGTTGATGTTATCAAGTGCCATCGAGTCAGTTCTGACTCATAGGTAAGCCATGAATAACTGAGGGACTGTCTTCTCTGCAGAGAAGCTAGAGTGTGGAAGAAATGCTCCCCAAGGAGGGGTGGTTAATTAACACAGAAACATTGGTGTAAAACAGCCTTAAAAATATTCTTTAAGGGAGAACAAACAAGATGGCGGATC